GAAATAGTCAAATCTGGTGGTCGATGAGGTGGTTAGAAAACCATTGTTAACTTGTGTCTGTTTCGCATTACTGAGTTTTCAAAGAAAAGTAGATGAGAGGATAAATTCTCTTTAGGAAGATTGTTTTATCACTATTATTTCGTATCTGAATGGGCATTCACTGTTACAATTAAGGTGGCTAGTTTTTCTGCTAGTGAATTTTTATAGATTATGGCAGTGTAAGTGTTGTGACTGTATTCTACGAGAACATTCAAGAATGAGAATTTATTTTTTGATTAACTTCCTAGGTAACGTTAAGGACAGAGTTTTTCAAAGTATCTATTTCGTTTATGTTTTTCGCTAAGATAAAAATATCGTCTCCGTAGAGGAGATATATTTTAGGTTTACAGACCTGTTTAAATATCATGTTTTCTACATGGGACATGTAATAATTGGAGAAGCACGGGCCGAGCGGATTTCCCCTACTAAGGCCATTAGCTTCGGTGTAGAAAGAGACATTTAGAAAGAGAAATTGAATAAAAAGCTTAAACACAGTACCTTGTCTCTCGTCTTTAATGGGACACACACACACAGACATATATATATATATATATATATATATATATATATATATATATATATATATAATTTTAAGGTGTGCAATATTTATGGGATAATGTGCTCAATATCAGAGATAGAGCGTATGTAAATATAAATATAAAGTGAACATTGAAGTCAACACTCAGAGGCGACAGGCAGTTTCATGCTAGACGCAATCATCAGGCCACCTGACAACTGCGTCTAGAATGAAACAGTCTGTCACCTCTGAGTGTTGACTTCAATGTTAATATTATATATATATATATATATATATATATATATATATATATATATAAAGGTTAATGGCCAGAGTTGAATCAAACCAGCGAACAGTAGTATTAAAAAGTACTCAATACACGTGACAAAAAAAATAAAAAATAACATGTAGAGCTTTCAAGTATATATATATATATATATATATATATATATATATATATATATATATATATATACTCTTTCAGACCTGTAAATATGAGTTTAGTTAATGTAATATCTTTCTATTCATGGAAATATATAGTACTTATTTTTGATGAATAAAATTTTTCTCTCTTAATCCATTGGTGTGTTTCATCTACAATTTACAATATATGCCACAAATTTATTATGAGTTTCATTTTAATGAATAATTTTATCTTCAATTCATGTTTTGATTTGATGTATTTGGTAATAGAGATTACTTTTTATGTTATTATTTGGGCAGTCTGACAATATTTTACATAATTGTAACACTATAAACATTTTTTGTATTGGGCTGTGTAAACACACCAAGGGATTATATTCGGAAATCCGAGGTGACTAACGCAGGATTAGTCGTGGTAATCCACGTTTGAATGAGGACATAGCCGCCTCGTATAAGTTTATTACCATTCTCTTAGACGTGTGAATTGCTTTTTTTTTTCTCTTCATCTATTTGCTAAAGTTTATCCGTGTTGCTCAGAGTGGGGGACATTAAAGTATGTAGCGTATATCGACGAGTCTGTCAGGTGCACGTATCAAGATAATGTTAGTGTTACCACCGCGGGGTTTTCTTGGGTAAAAGTATTATCGATTTTTTTTACTGTTGCTTAGCCAATACAAGGCCCAAAAGTCACTTGAAGTAGAATGTTACTGAATGAGGTACTTGAAAGCATATACCGGCTAACGCAATAATTGAAGATTAAGATTGTAGTGATCAGGGAAGCATCCCCTCGGGAGTCGACCCCACAAAGTAGCGGTACTTGGGAAGCAGCTCTCCGAGTGGAACTCCATTCTTACCAATGGAATCCGAAGGGAGTTAGAAAGAATTTGACCCTGAAGACTTTTTGGAAGTAAGGACTGCAGCTCGTCCGAATTCTCCTGTGTATAGTTTAAAATTGTTAAGACCCGCTGTAAATAAATCACTTAAACTTAATTTTGTCATTTTTATCTAATTTTTTATATGTATTTTTATATAATCTTTTATATATGTATATATATATAGTTTATGAAAAACTAGGTAATCCGTATGGGTAAACCCAAGGAGGATAAAATCCAGAGAGCTCAATGTAAATCCAGAGCAAATAATTTAAATAAAAACAGACCACTTTAAGGTTCCATGTAATAAATTATTTCACCACAGCCCTTTTAAAAGGACTGCGGATCATCAGACTTTACTTCCAAAGGTTGAAAAGAAATTTACACATTTTTGACGGGCCGTATTAAGCATATGTAAATTAACGAAGTGAGAAAGTGAGGGGGAAGAGAGAAGACATGAGTGAATTAGATGTAATTTAATATTTCTATTCTTTCATACTTAAAATTATTTGAGGAGGACCAGTTTAAATGTGTCAATGTCTGGACATCCTCAAGTAATTTTAAGTATGAAAGAATAGAAATTTTAAATTACATCTAACTCACTCATGTCTTCTCCCCCTCACTTCCTCACTTCCTCACTTCGTTAATTTACATGTTTAATACGGCCCGTCAAAAATGTGTAAATTTCTTTTCATTTTTTGTTTCAACCTTTGGAAGTAAAGTCTGATGATCCGCAGTCCTTTTAAAAGGGCTGTGGTGAAATAATTTATTACATGGAACCTTAAAGTGGTTTGTTTTTATTTAAATTATATATATATATATATATATATATATATATATATATATATATATATTGTATTGAGCCCTTTTAATACGTTCAGTTTTAACAAATATTTTACTATTTGTGTTACTCTAGCATAAATACATCACCACCTCTAGTAATCATCCACACAAACATGTATATGTATAAAACCTGAGTATCCTCTACCATGTATTCAATTATGAAGGCTGAATAACATACATCTTAATTTTATAACTGTTGTGTCGTGGCACAATAGTAAAAATAAGAAAATCAAGTCGAAGTTGGTTTAAAGAACAAGTGTATTTAACATAACAGATACAAAGGTAGGAAACGGGTACTACTCAGCTAGGCAGTTGTAGTACTGTCGCTGCTTACACCGGGTAGGTATTACTGGCACTATATATAGTGAGAACCGGTGTAATTCCCTTGTGTTAGAGGCCGGTGCAACAATAACAAACATCAAAAATTTAAAGGCAACATCAACCGCGCCATCTTCAGTCTTCTTGAATCCCGTTCATCTTTTTCCTTTCCCCAATTCTCCATATTCTGTGTCTTTTCTTTCACTTTCACTCCCTGTAACCACCTGCGTACTAGTGGCATTCCCATCTTGATTGGGGTGAAATGATTTAAAAAACTGTTGTCATTGGTAAAGAGTTGAGAAACATTGCTTTGAATTATAATTTCCAAAACAAAATGACTTCCTGTATCATTGTAATATTGTTTTTCGCATATGTATTGTAAATATTAAGTAAAGATCCAAGTCTTGTATACGACCTTCATATATCCAAAAATATGTTGCGTCTGTATCAGCATCGATATGACATTATTAAAAAAAAAATTCTGAATCAGAAATTAGTTCTAACAGCATTATTATGGGACTATTACGTTTTACCTCTATTTTTTTTAATTTACTCCCCCCCCCACGAGGGCATCGTGTGGCACAAGGCCGGTTTAACGTGGGATCTCCGAGCCCGTGGGTTCGGCCAGAAATATGCCCTTTGAACCCGTATAAACGGGTTCAGGGTCGGTTTACCTCTCCGAAAGAGACTCCGCCCTTCGGCGTAGCCTCGTTCGGGTTCCTCCCCGCCCGAAGGCAGAGAGTCCAACCGAACAGCCGGTCGTGAACTAGTGACTGACGATATTCAGTCAACCCCCCACCCCCGCGCCACTGGGGCGTCATGTGGCACAAGGCCGTTTTTAACGTGGGATCTCCGAGCCCGTGGGCTCTGCCAAAAATATGCCCATTGAACCCGTATAAACGGGTTCAGGGTCGGTTTACCTCCCCGAAAGAGAATCCGCCCTTCGGCGTAGCCTCTTTCGGGTTCCTCCCAGCCTGAAGTCAGAGAGTTCAATCGATCAGCCGATCTGCCGGTCGCCCGACTTCAGGCTGAACTCGTTTTACCTCTTTAAGTATATAAAAAGTCCTTTTGTAACAAACCGGCATTTCGAAAAATTGTGAATATCAAAAGATTTACACTATTTACACTATTCGGACTATTGTCCTTATCTTTGTCGCCACATTTATTACAACGTTTCGGCCGTTGGACGCTCCGGCCTTCTTCAGGTGGTTGGAATGTCAAACTGAGCCCTTTATTTCGCTCACTGGGGTAGACTGTTCTAGTTCTACATGCCATGTTTTTAAGGGATGTCAGTTATCAGTTATCGTCTGTTAATTTCCTTCTGAAAGTTCTCCACTGCCTTAACCGGGTTTTGAACTCACACTGTTTGGGTTCTGTCAATGGATCTAACCAACGCCTCTATCCACTGTGCCATTTGTCCTTGTGTATGAATTTCTGGGTATTATAATGTAAATAGTGTACATAATACCTCATCTCAGAAATATAGAGAGATATCAAAAGATTTAATTGATCACAGAGCCGAGAAATAATTGTCTGAAAAATCTGACATTCCAAACAACATCGAAAGATTTATTAATTAACCTTGAGATAATTTATTCTATTGTCTTATTCATAAGCTACGAACTCGGGTCGTGTAAGACAGATCCTAGTATATTGACCACCATATTTGTTGTGTTCAATAAATGATCAATCCTATCTTCCCACATTTTTATTATGAGTGCAACAAGATCGTCTGGAAGAGGGCCGGAAACATTTACACTACTCAATATCTGGTATTCAAATATTTTCGACCGATTGGCAAACTCTTCCCGCCACTGTTGTTTGTCCATAAAAATTCATAAAACTAATATAGTGTTCTCGCGAAGAAAATGTCTTTATTTGCATAAAATAGTCATATATTGATTGCCTTTGGAAGATAGCAAGCAGACTACCATAAAAAATCACATCGGAAAATGTGTAGCAATTTGATTAAACCAATGTTTAAACAGTTTTAAAGCAGCCTTTCTTTCTAACCGGATATCCGGTCGGCCACCCTTCTACTTTCCTATTGAAATCGCCTTCCGCTCCTGGTTAAACATCTATTTTCTTTCTTTTATTTTTCACTTTCTTTCTTTCTTTCTTTCTTTCTTTGTCATTTTTCACTCATTGTTTCTTAATTTTTTATTTTCTTCCGGTTTTCATGTTTTTTGTTATCTTTTTTAGTATGATTTTTACATTTTCTCTTCGTTTGATGCCTATTTTCCAATTTATCGTTTCTTTTCGATTCAATTCCCAAGCCCACTTTTCTTGCTTCTAGAATTTCATGTCTTGTCTCTTCTCCTTCGTGTCTTCTCCTTCTGATCCTATTTCTCTTCTTTTTGCACTCTTTTTCATTTTCATACGTATTTAGTTTCTTTTTCATTGATTTCCTATTTTTTATTTTCTCGTTTTCTTTTTTTTTTTTTTAAGTCCGGCATTCATCTTTATTTCCTAATAGTCTTTCTTATTATTATTCAAATCAATTCAGAATTTCTTTCACCGAGTTCAACATTTTTCGTTCAGTATGTCAACTGAATATTTACTTTTTCACCGATGTACCCATTTCTTCTTCTTCTTTAACTGTATTTGCTTTTCTTCGTTATCTCACTGCTTTTCTTTGACTATATTCTTTTTCGTCATCATCTTCTTTGTCTATATTTTTCTTCCTTTTCTCCCTTATCGCATTTTTTGGCTCCATTTTTCTTCTTCCTCGTCTGCATTGTCTCTACTTTTCTTCGTTAACTCATTGTTTTTTTTCTTCTTTCTCTTTGTCTATATTTCTTCTTCGTCTTTTCCTTCGTTGTTTTCGTTTTTCGTCTTCATCTTTGTCTTCAGTTTTATTCCTTTTCTTCGTTGTCTCATTTTCTTCTTCCTTTCCCTCCGTTTCTTCTTCGTCCTTTTCGTCATTGTCTGTATTTGTCTTCTCTTTTCTTCCGCTCAATTTCCTTCCCCCCTTTTTTTTAATCCTTTCCAAAGTACTTACCTCCACATCCACTCGGAAACAGCAACATATTCTTTTTCTACTTCTTTTTCCACTTCTTTTTCTTCTTCTTTATAGATTTGTTCTTCTTTATCAAGAAGCTCTTTTTCATGTTTTCCTTCGTCAACACATTTTAACCTTTCCTGTTTTCCTTTGTTCTCCTTTCCTTTCATTGTTGCCGGTTAGATTATCCAAAAAATTTCATAGTTTCCTCTTTTTCTTCTTTTCTTTTCTCTTCTTCTTTTTCTTTTTTTTCTTTCTTTCATTTGCTCCTTTTCTTTCTCTTTTATCTCATGCTATTATAATTCCCCTTCATCTTCGTTTCTTTTTCCATCTTTTCTCTCTCGATTGTTAAAGGACATATTCAGGCAAAAATTACCATATTCAACACATTTTGGAACTTGATTAAAAAAAAAAAATCTAAAAACTTTAAAAAAGTAAGTAAACCAAAAAAGACTTTTCCCGCAATGCTGCAATCGAATAATAAAAATCAAAAAGAATCCCTAAACCACCCACAGTCGCCTGACTTCTGCCACGTCGCCATTCAATTCAGGAAAATGTCGCTCAGTTCGAGTTGTAGCATCAAAATTCCTTACTCAGCTTTTCTATTAAGAACGTTACAGGATATACGTCGTAAGGACGGGATGTAAATAAAATTACTCAATAATTAGATACTTAGAATATCTTAAGTTGATATAATACGTCGAAAGTTGAGTCAAATAAGGGAGATAGAATAGGCCGGGACTTGAGCCAAACTAAGAACATAGAATAGGCCGGGACTTGAGCCAAACTAAGAACATAGAATAGGCCGGGACTTGAGCCAAACTAAGAACATAGAATAGGCCGGGACTTGAGCCAAACTAAGAACATAGAATAGGCCGGAACTTAAGCCAAACTAAGAACATAGAATAGGCCGGAACTTGAGCCAAACTAAGAACATAGAATAGGCCGGGACTTGAGCCAAACTAAGAACATAGAATAGGCCGGAACTTAAGCAAAACTAAGAACATAGAATAGGCCGGGACTTGAGCCAAACTAAGAACATGGAATAGGCCGGAACTTGAGCCAAAAAAAGAACATAGAATAGGCCGGGACTTGAGCCAAACTAAGAACATAGAATAGGCCGGGTCTTGAGCCAAAATAAGAACATAGAATAGGCCGAGACTTGAGCCAAAATAAGAACATAGAATAGGCCGGAACTTGAGCCAAAATAAGAACATAGAATAGGCCGGGACTTGAGCCAAACTAAGAACATAGAATAGGCCGGGACTTGAGCCAAAATAAGAACATAAAATAGCCCGGTTCTTGAGCCAAACTAAGAACATAGAATAGGCCGGAACTTGAGCCAAAAAAAGAACATAGAATAGGCCGGGACTTGAGCCAAACTAAGAACATAGAATAGGCCGGGACTTGAGCCAAACTAAGAACATAGAATAGGCCGGAACTTGAGCCAAACTAAGAACATAGAATAGGCCGGAACTTGAGCCAAACTAAGAACATAGAATAGGCCGGGACTTGAGCCAAAATAAGAACATAGAATAGGCCGGAACTTGAGCCAAAAAAAGAACATAGAATAGGCCGAGACTTGAGCCAAACTAAGAACATAGAATAGGCCGGGACTTGAGCCAAACTAAGAACATAGAATTGGCCGGGACTTGAGCCAAACTAAGAACATAGAATAGGCCGGAACTTAAGCCAAACTAAGAACATAGAATAGGCCGGAACTTGAGCCAAACTAAGAACATAGAATAGGCCGGGACTTGAGCCAAACTAAGAACATAGAATAGGCCGGGACTTGAGCCAAAATAAGAACATAGAATAGGCCGGGACTTGAGCCAAACTAAGAACATAGAATAGGCCGGGACTTGAGCCACAATAAGAACATAGAATAGGCCGGAACTTGAGCCAAAAAAAGAACATAGAATAGGCCGGGACTTGAGCCAAACTAAGAACATAGAATAGGCCGGGACTTGAGCCAAACTAAGAACATAGAATAGGCCGGGACTTGAGCCAAACTAAGAACATAGAATAGGCCGGAACTTGAGCCAAAAAAAGAACATAGAATAGGCCGGGACTTGAGCCAAACTAAGAACATAGAATAGGCCGGAACTTGAGCCAAACTAAGAACATAGAATAGGCCGGAACTTGAGCCAAACTAAGAACATAGAATAGGCCGGGACTTGAGCCAAAATAAGAACATAGAATAGGCCGGAACTTGAGCCAAAAAAAGAACATAGAATAGGCCGGGACTTGAGCCAAACTAAGAACATAGAATAGGCCGGGACTTGAGCGAAACTAAGAACATAGAATAGGCCGGGACTTGAGCCAAACTAAGAACATAGAATAGGCCGGAACTTAAGCCAAACTAAGAACATAGAATAGGCCGGAACTTGAGCCAAACTAAGAACATAGAATAGGCCGGGACTTGAGCCAAACTAAGAACATAGAATAGGCCGGGACTTGAGCCAAAATAAGAACATAGAATAGGCCGGGACTTGAGCCAAACTAAGAACATAGAATAGGCCGGGACTTGAGCCAAACTAAGAACATAGAATAGGCCGGAACTTGAGCCAAAATAAGAACATAGAATAGGCCGGGACTTGAGCCAAACTAAGAACATAGAATAGGCCGGAACTTGAGCCAAAATAAGAACATAGAATAGACCGGGACTTGAGCCAAACTAAGAACATAGAATAGGCCGGGACTTGAGCCAAAATAAGAACATAGAATAGGCCGGAACTTGAGCCAAAGAAAGAACATAGAATAGGCCGGGACTTGAGAACATAGAAAACTTGAGCCAAACTAAGAACATAGAATAGGCCGGGACTTGAGCCAAACTAAGAACATAGAATAGGCCGGGACTTGAGCCAAAATAAGAACATAGAATAGGCCGGGACTTGAGCCAAACTAAGAACATAGAATAGGCCGGAACTTGAGCCAAAATAAGAACATAGAATAGACCGGGACTTGAGCCAAACTAAGAACATAGAATAGACCGGGACTTGAGCCAAACTAAGAACATAGAATAGGCCGGGACTTGAGCCAAACTAAGAACATAGAATAGGCCGGGACTTGAGCCAAACTAAGAACATAGAATAGGCCGGGACTTGAGCCAAACTAAGAACATAGAATAAGCCGGGACTTGAGCCAAACTAAGAACATAGAATAGGCCGGGACTTGAGCCAAACTAAGAACATAGAATAGGCCGGAACTTGAGCCAAAATAAGAACATAGAATAGGCCGGGACTTGAGCCAAAATAAGAACATAGAATAGTCCGGGACTTGAGCCAAACTAAGAACATAGAATAGGCCGGGACTTGAGCCAAAATAAGAACATAGAATAGGCCGGAACTTGAGCCAAAAAAAGAACATAGAATAGGCCGGGACTTGAGCCAAACTAAGAACATAGAATAGGCCGGGACTTGAGCCAAACTAAGAACATAGAATAGAATAGGGACTTGAGCCAAACTAAGAACATAGAATAGGCCGGGACTTGAGCCAAACTAAGAACATAGAATAGGCCGGGACTTGAGCCAAACTAAGAACATAGAATAGGCCGGAACTTGAGCCAAACTAAGAACATAGAATAGCCCGGAACTTGAGCCAAACTAAAAACATTGTATAGGCCGGGACTTGAGCCAAAATAAGAACATAGAATAGGCCGGGACTTGAGCCAAAATAAGAACATAGAATAGGCCGGGACTTGAGCCAAACTAAGAACATAGAATAGCCCGGAACTTGAGCCAAACTAAAAACATTGTATAGGCCGGGACTTGAGCCAAACTAAGAACATAGAATAGGCCGGGACTTGAGCCAAAATAAGAACATAGAATAGGCCGGGACTTGAGCCAAACTAAGAACATAGAATAGGCCGGGACTTGAGCCAAACTAAGAACATAGAATAGGCCGGAACTTGAGCCAAAATAAGAACATAGAATAGGCCGGGACTTGAGCCAAAATAAGAACATAGAATAGACCGGGACTTGAGCCAAACTAAGAACATAGAATAGGCCGGGACTTGAGCCAAAATAAGAACATAGAAAAGGCCGGAACTTGAGCCAAAAAAAGAACATAGAATAGGCCGGGACTTGAGCCAAACTAAGAACATAGAATAGGCCGGGACTTGAGCCAAACTAAGAACATAGAATAGGCCGGGACTTGAGCCAAACTAAGAACATAGAATAGGCCGGAACTTGAGCCAAACTAAGAACATAGAATAGGCCGGAACTTGAGCCAAACTAAGAACATAGAATAGGCCGGGACTTGAGCCAAAATAAGAACATAGAATAGGCCTGAACATGAGCCAAAAAAAAGAACATAGAATAGGCCGGGACTTGAGCCAAACTAAGAACATAGAATAGGCCGGGACTTGAGCCAAACTAAGAACATAGAATAGGCCGGGACTTGAGCCAAACTAAGAACATAGAATAGGCCGGAACTTAAGCCAAACTAAGAACATAGAATAGGCCGGGACTTGAGCCAAACTAAGAACATAGAATAGGCCGGGACTTGAGCCAAACTAAGAACATAGAATAGGCCGGGACTTGAGCCATACTAAGAACATAGAATAGGCCGGGACTTGAGCCAAACTAAGAACATAGAATAGGCTTGAGAACTAGAATAGGCGGAACTAACTTGAGCCAAACTAAGAACATAGAATAGGCCGGGACTTGAGCCAAACTAAGAACATAGAATAGGCCGGGACTTGAGCCAAAAATAAGAACATAGAATAGGCCGGAACTTGAGCCAAAAAAGAACATAGAATAGGCCGGGACTTGAGCCAAACTAAGAACATAGAATAGGCCGGGACTTGAGCCAAACTAAGAACATAGAATAGGCCGGGACTTGAGCCAAACTAAGAACATAGAATAGGCCGGAACTTGAGCCAAAAAAAGAACATAGAATAGGCCGGGACTTGAGCCAAAATAAGAACATAGAATAGTCCGGGACTTGAGCCAAACTAAGAACATAGAATAGGCCGGGACTTGAGCCAAAATAAGAACATAGATTAGGCCATAAATTGAGCCAAACTAATAACTTATTGATTGGAACTAAAGACGTAGAATTATAGGCTGGAACTAAGAAGATAGAATAGGCTGTGTCTTGAGCCAAACTTATAACTTATTGATTGGGAACTTGTGCCCAACAAATAAAATATTATAAGCCGTAATTCGGAACAAACTAATATTTCATGGTACCGAAACTTGAGCCAAAATAATAATTTATAGAGTGGAATGTGTCAAAGAAGTAATTTCTCATAGGCCGGGACTTGAGCCAAACTAACAATACCTAATAATCTGCAACTTGAGGTAAGCTAATAACTACAGGCTGAAACATGAGTCAAAATATTAATAC